CCTTGGTGTCATAACACTGTGCTATAACCAGCTGAGCCACCTGGCCAGCCCTGCAGCGGTGGCTTATACCTGCTTCTGCTTCAGCAGGTGCAGCACCTCACGGCACTGGCACAGTTGGGCCCAGTCCAGCTGGGATGAACCGGGGCGGTGATGGGAGCAGCCGTTTTCTTCTCTGCTCTGATACGTGCTGGGTGGGGAGGACCCACGTTCCCTCCAATGTAGATGTTCACTAACCACAGCCGTGTAGGCCTGGGGCAAAGCACTCCCCTGGCCTTGGTAACCAAGCCTTGCAGATAAGCCCACCAGCCTGAAGAAGGATTCCTGCGCTGGGTTGAGGCTGAAGGAGACATTAGCCAATCTCTTGGCCCCCTACATCGTTATACCTCTGAGACTCGTGTATCTGGAAGATTAGGGCGGGTTTTCTTTTNATCAGCGGGGGTGGCGAAGGGCAGAGGGAACCATTTCTGTCCTTGTGACTGGGAGACTCAGTCCCTCTCCTGATTGTCTAGCCCTGTCTCTCCGATGACAGCAGGCCAGACGTAAACTTTCTGAGCTTCAGTCTCCGTCACTTCCACCCTGGGGTTGGGGAGCATGGGGCGTTGGTTTTAACATGTTGACCGCAGAGAGTTAGGATGTTGGGGTGGAGGAAATGAGCAGTAGATTGTTCTGGACTGAGTGAGGAAAGGTGTCAGTGGAGGAGTCAGCTCCTAAGTTGACTTCCGCTACCTAAATGCCCAGCGTGGAGCCAGGCGTGGCGGAGGGTGCTGATCTTGTACTCAAGTCGGGGAAGCAGGTGAACACAGGGGACATCACTTTACAGGACCAGGCCTCGTCACACATTGATTGTGTGCTGCAGACTCTAGAGGATAGGGGGATTTAGGCAGGGCTTAGAGGTCACTGAGGGTCTTGGAAGGCTGCTGAAACGTGGGCTTTGAGAGCGCAAGATTACCAGGCTAAGGGAGGACTTTGGGGTCTGAAGTCTGGTTTGCCACTTTCTTGGGGCAAATTGTCTGCCCTCCCTGAGTCTTGGCTTCTCCACTTATACCTGGGGATTGTGAGTCCCTTCCTCTCCTGAGAGTGTTTTTGGAGGAGCTTATTGTTCTATTAGAAAGATCTCAATAAAAATCCATAAATTCCTGATTCTTTTGAAAATTCCTGATTCTTCTGAAAATTCCTGAGTAAGCAGCATCTGTGTGCCCTGGGCTAGAGCAGCATGTGGTCTGGGCTTGGGGTTGCCCTGGGTAGGCCATCTGGAGGCTTGGGTGGGGCCGGGCAGAGCTGGAGGCCCCTGGGCCAGGACCTGAGAGCCAAGCCAGAGATTATTTTTATCCCTCTGTCCATGGCACATGGCCCAGGCTCAATGGTGCCATCTGTCCCCCCCACCAAACTCCTACCCTGGCAGACCCTCAAGAGTCACTGAGGAGCACATGTGGATGGGGAGGAGGCAGGGGTCCCTTTCTGGGCCGGTGTCGGCTTACCCTCTGCTCTATAGGCTGCAGGGCAGGGCACGTGGGAGGTTCGCCTGGTGGGGGCCAGCAGCTGCCAGGCCTGGGGCTGTGGGCGTGGGCGGGGCTGGCCAGTGGTCGGGTGGACCAGGAGCAGCAGGACCACACAGGGCTGCAGGCAACTCCCTTTTGGTACCGAGTCCTGTGGCCCAGGGCCTTGGGTGATCTGCTGCCCTGCTTTCCCTGGGACAGACCCAGTCTTGGGACGTGGACTGCAGGTTCTTAGAAAACCCCACTCGTGGGTCAGAGTGTGGCATGAGGAGTCTCCTGTACCCCCAGGTCCGGTGTCCTCCTGGGCTGCCCCGGGCCCAACTTCTGCAGGGACTGACCGTGCTCCTTTCACTGGGCCAGCCCAGCTCGGCTCGGGTGAAGGAAGGGGAGCTCTGAGAGGGGCAGGGCAGGGAGGTGCTGCCCGCCTCCCCATCTCTCCTAATCTTGGCCTCCACAGCACCCTTCACCTGCCTCGGAGTTTACGTCTTCACTTTGTGTCAGGTCCCAGAAGAAAATCAAGGTTAAAGCCAGGACTTTGAGGCCTTAGGTATTGCTGTTATTAATTAGCTAATATTAGGTTTTAGGGCTTGAAGTATATGTACCTGTCAGGTCTGTTTAGGGCTTTAGACCTTCCGTTTGAGGCATCATTTTCAGCTTAATAATAATGATCATGACAATAAATAGTTCTTTTGAGCACTGACTGTGTTGAGTTCTGTACTGTGTAACTTCTTATCTTAGTGGCTGTCACATGGGATATCTCTCCACAGCAGAGCAGTCCCCCAGACTTCTCTGAGCAAAGCCACGGGTGAAAGTCTGCAAGGCATGTTTAGAGGCCACTGGAGAAGCAGAGGGTCTGGGTGGAGAGTATGAGCCACGGACTGCTAGAAAGGGCTTAGGTCCCCACGAGAGCAACCCCCTCATTTCACAGACAGACAAACAGGCCCAGAAAAATGAAGGGATTTGGAAATGAAGAGATTTGTGCATGGTCACACGGTTGGTTGTGGAACTGGAACCAAAACCAGTCTCTAGATTGCCACACGTCACACTTTCATTTTACAGGCATCCAAAATAAATCCCAGTTCATATAATTCAAGCTCTCTGTCTCTTGTGCCAAAATCCAGACATTTATTGAGTGTTTCTTTCTTTTCCTGAAACTAAGCACAGCACAGTTCATTCTCCCCGCAGAGGAGTCATCACTCCACGAAGAACACTTTCCAACCATCCATTCATTGGCTCATTCTTCGTTCACCAGCACTGTGCAGTGCACCCATGACTTGGTAGAGACATCCCTGTTCTCAAGGTGGCTAAAGTGTGGCCAAGGAGGCCAGTAATTACTGGGAGTTGGGGGCTAGGTTGTGGAAAGACAGGGGTAGAGGGCTGGCTGGTAGCTCAGTTGGTTAGAGCACAGCCTTGTAAATCTGAGTGGAGGTGTCTGGTCGGCAGCTGCTATATAGGCCCGCGCCTCAGGAAAAATATACGGACTTGGGGGTTAAAAACATACAGTGGAAGTGGACGTCAGGGGAGGGCATCCCCAGGGAGTCCGGGTAGGGTTTAGAGAGGTGGGTCAGGTCCGAACCCTGAGGAAGACATTTATGGAAGGAGTCTGGCAAAATATGAAGCCGAGGGAGTGTGCAGGAGCGAGAGCCCGTGAGCTGACAGCTTGAGGATCGTTTGGCGCTTCCGTGTATTTTGAAAATCAGCTCGTTAAGTTTTGTGGATAATAGATTTGCAACATAACCAGCGCCATCTTAGACAAGCCCAAGTACAAAACGGCGCCGCCCACCTCCTCCCCTCCCCTCCCCCGTTCTCTCTCACAAAAAGTCTCTTGGTTTTGGAGAAAATGAAACTTTCAGCATTTCTGCATGCGCAGAACTTTCCACACCCATGACCTAACTCAGCCCCACCCCCTGAATTACATCGCCCAGCTCTTGGCACCAACATACCAATATAAGCTCTACCATCCCCACACCTGGTGCTGTCCCCCATTTTCAGGGCAGCCCTGGGCTGCCTGCTACTTTGAGCACAGCCCGGCAGATTTCTTTCTTTAATAAAGCTTGAATGGTACCCGACATCTCGGCTCACTTTCTTTCAGTGGAAAACCTTGTGGAATTTTGGTCATAATTTCCTTGAATTTATGATTTATTTCTAGAGATTCAACATCTGTATGATATTGTTTTCACATCCGTGAATACTGTTTCTCTCCATTTATTTAGGCATGGTGATAATGTGAAATATTTGTTTGCTCTTCGTTCATATTTCGTGGCACACTACTCCTAAAATTCTTGAAATCTTCAAAGTGGCAAGTGTCCTTTTGTATGCTGATGTTGACTGGTGGCTGGCAGCACCTAGGTAGCTTCAGGATTGGGGCAGGTCACGGGAAAGACCAAGGCAGGATTAGAGGGTTGGGACTTTCAGCCCCACCCCATCCTCCTGGGAGGGGAAAGGGCTGCAGGTTAGGTTCCTAACCAGTGGCCAGTGATTTAATCAATCATGTCTACATAATGAAGCTTTGATAAAACCCCCAAAGGACCGAGTTTGGAGAGCTTCCTGGTAGCTGAGCACGGGGAGGTTCGTGGGGGGTGGTGCACCCAGAGAGGGCATGGAAACTCCGCACCCTTTTCCCTGGCCCTGTGCATCTCTTTATCGGTATCCCTTCTAATATCCTTTAAATAAACCTGTAAGTAAAGCGTTTCCCTGAGTTTTGTGAGCCACTGTAGCAAATTACTTGAACCCATGGAGAGTGTCGTGGGAACCCTGATTTATAGCTGGTCGGTCAGAAGCACAGGTAAAAGAACCTGGGGCTTGGCATCGGAAGTGGGGGGCACTGAGCCCTCAGCCTATGCGATCTGACGCTGTCACCAGGTAGATGGTATCAGAATTGACTGGAATCAGAGGACATGCAGCTGATGTCCTCTGCAGAACTGATTGGTTGTTGTTGGGGAGAAATCCCCATACACTTCCTGGTGACCAGAGGTCACAGAGGTCTTCTGTGTTGCTTGTTGTTGAGTGAGAGAATAGAAAAAACACTTGTTTTTGTTCCTGTATTCTCACAGCTAGTTTATATCTTTCAAAGTAGTTATAATTTTCTTTGTAAAAGTCTTGTATTTTATTAGATTTATCACTAGATAAATTATGTCTTTGGTTTCTAAAAGGAGTATTTTTTGAAATTACATTGCCTGACACTGCCTGAAATTACATTGTCCTGGTATAAGACAATATAATTGACTTTGATATATTGATGTTGCTGAACTCTCTTAGAAGTTCTCATAATTTGTGGAATGTTTTCCATCTTCTGTCATGTTTCCTGAAGATACTAACAGATTACTTCTCTCCAGTTCTCCTTTTCCTGTCCCACTGTGGTGGCTACGACTTCTGTCACATTGTGAGCACAGGTGTCTAAAGTGAGCATCCTTTATATTCTTGACTTTAAGCGTTTGATTTCTAGTGTTCATCATTAAATGCGATATTTGTTGTATAGGTTTTTGGAACAAATATCACACTATCAGATTAAGGAAGTTCTCTTTTGTTTCTAGCAATTTGTTAAGAGTTCTTTTTATTGTGAATGGGTCTTGAATTTTATCAAAGTCTCTTCTGAATTTATGACTCAGAAACATTTTTCTGCACGCATGCGCGTGTGTGTTGCGTGGCCAAATTAAACTAGTCACCATCATTGTTATTGTTTGTGTACAGATAGTATTGTTCAGATTTACTCATATTTTTACCAGTTACTTTGCTTACCATTCCGTGTGAGAAATGTTGTCTTTTCATATCAGTTCCACCTTTGTTTTTTCAAATACCTCCTTTGCTGTTTTTTTTTCAGTGAGGATCTGTTAGTGGTAAATTTTCTACATCTTTCACTGTTGAATGATATTTTGGTTGTGTTTTAAATTCTAGGCCGATGGTTATTTTCTTTCAGAATTTGGAGATGTTATTTTAGGTTTTCTCGTGTTACTGTTGAGAGGTCCTCATCAATTTCATAGTCGTTCCTTTGTAGGTAATCTGTTCTTTTTCACTCTGGATGCTTTTAAAAATCTCTATGTATTTGGTATTCTACAGTTTCCCTACAATGTGTTTATTTTATTTGAATTTATCTTGATTAGGATTCATTATTGTTTATGAATTGGAGTACTCATTTCTTTCATCAATTCTGGAAAATTTCCTGCCGTTATGCCTTCAAATGTTGCTTTACTTCATCTTCTATATTCTCTTTTTCTGGAATTTTTTTTTTTTTTTGAAAAGATGACCGGTAAGGGGATCTTAACCCTTGACTTGGTGTTGTCAGTACCACGCTCACCCAGTGAGCCAACCGGCCATCCCTATATGGGATCCGAACCCGTGACTTTGGTGTTATCAGCACCACACTCTCCCGAGTGAGCCACGGGCCAGCCCTTTTTCTGGAATTTTAATTAGAAGTGTGTTGAACTGCCTTATTCTGTTCTCCTTGCCCTTTTTATAAAAAATTTTTTTTGGTGGCTGGCTGATATAAGGATCTGAATCCTTGACCTTGGTGCTCCAACACGGCACTCTAACCAATTGAGCTAACCAGCCAGCCCTATAATCGTTTAAAAAATATGTATCTGGGTAATGTCCTCAGGTCTGTCTTCTAGGTTGTTACTCCTTTCTCTAGCTGTATCTAATCTGCTGTTAATCCCAACCACTAAGTTTTTGTTTTTGTTCTTTTTAGCAGCTGGCTGGTGTGGAGATCCAAACCTGTGACCTTGGTCTTATAAAGGCTGTGCTCTAATGAACTGAGCTAACAGGCCAGCTTTCTTTTTTAATTTCATTGACTAAAATGTTTATTTCTAAATGTTTGATTTGGTTCTTTTATCAGTCTGCTTTGAATTTTTCATAAAATTATTTATATATTTATTATTTTATTTTATTATTTGATAAATGTAGTCAATGATTATAATTTTCTTAAACTTTATTTTTATTTTCATTTGTTTTTTAATTGACACATAATAATTGTACATATTTATGGGTATATGAGGTAACTAAAATAGCGAAATTCACAGAAACCCTGCCTGCTGATGAGGACTCACAGCAAGTGCAGCTGGGTCTTGTTCTCGGTGCTTCACGGTCCTGGCCCCTGTTAATGCAGCACAAGTTGGCTGTCCTCTCTGTGGCTGTTAAAATAAGTTTCCGTGAAAGTTTGCCTGGGGTGGGGTATCACTCAATCTGGAGGAAACTTGCTTATTCTCTATACAAATTCTGGTCTTAATTCTTTTGTGAACATTGAAACATTTTTCTGTATCTTTAAACAAACTTCTTAAAAAAGTAGTCGATTTCAATTTCTGGCAATATAGTAGATGAGATGACTTTATTTTAGTTTTATTTATTTTAGAGAAGATGATTTTAAAACTCTTACTCTGTCAAAGAAATTTAGAAATGATAGATACAATGCAACAAATACACTTTAAAATGCATAGTTGATTTCAAAAGAAAGTAAAGAAACCCCTAGAGGCCCCAGATGAGAGAACACTAAGGCAGGGCAGTGAGCTGTTACTACAGCAGCCCCAGAAGCGGGTGCGGCTTACCATAGCAAGGAAGCAACTGGGCTTTCATGACCACTCAGATGAGACCTTAGTGCTGAGACATGCAGCGAGGCTGAGACTGGGAACTACACCCAGATCCTCAGAGAAACACTAGAATAGGACAGAGGTGTTCTGTCATGGCCTAATTTCTGGGCATAAAAAAGAATTGTCTTTCCTAAGAACTTATAACCAAAGCAAGGGTTCAGACCCTGCACAAGCCACAAAAAAAAAAGAAAGAAAGAAAATTCCAACATATATAAGAAAAGAATCCACTATGATCAAGATTCAATGGGACTAGAAACCCCAAGAACTACAGATATTTGAACTATCAGATTAAAAAGTATTATATAATTGCATTTAAAATGATTATTGAGGGCCAGCCTGGTGGCGCACTGCTACAGTGCGCCGCTTGGGAGCGCGGCGGCGCTCTCGCCGAGGGTTCGGATCCCACATGCAGACTGGTTCCCGCTCGCTGGCTGAGCGAGGTGCGGGTGCGGCACCGAGGGTTGCGATCCCGTTTTTCGGTCCCGGTCTGGTGCGGGCGTGACACTGAGGGTTGCGATCCGTTGCCGGACACGAAAAAAGACAAAAAAAAAAATGATTATTGACCTAAACAAGGATTTGAAATATGAGAAAGAACATGTATATTTATTTATATGTTTATTATTTAATAAATTAATGTGTCTTTTATTTGTTAGGTATGTAATAAGCATCAAAATATTTAGAAAAAGTTAATTGTTTAAAAATTAATAAAGAGGTTATTCGAGAAAGAAAGATACCTCATGTCCATGGAACCGTATAGCATTTTCATGTGTGTGACTGGCTTATTTCACTTAGCATGATGTCCTCAAGGTTCATCCATGTTTAGCATGTGGCATGATCTCCTCCTTTTTAAAGTGGATAGGGGGGCCGGCCCCATGGCGCACTTGGGAGAGTGCGGCGCTGGGAGCACAGCGACGCTCCCGCCACGGGTTCGGATCCTATATAGGACTGGCCGGTGCGCTCACTGGCTGAGCGCAGTGTGGGCGACACCACACCAAGGATAGTGATCCCCTTACCAGTCACGAAAAAGACAAAAAAAAAAAAAAAAAAGGATAGGACTCCATTGTGTGTATGAACCATGCATTGCCATCTGTCCATCCATCGCTGGACTCCTGCGATGCTCCCACCGTTTGTACTGTGACTAACGCTGCTGTGAACATGCGTGTGCAGACATCTCTTCGAGACCTGCTTTCAGTTCTGGACACGTACTGAGACGTGGGATTGCAGGGTCACGTGATAGCTCTCTTCATTTTCTGAGGAATTGCTGCACTGTTTTCCATCGCGCCTGCGCCAGTTAACTGTCCCACCAGCAGTGTGGGTATCTTGTACCCTGTGCCCAGTATTGATTTACTGTTAGAACCTCCTCTGCCCTTGGTGCCCGTCTCCTGCTCCTCAGACCTCGTCTGGGTTCTTAGAGCAGTGATCAGGGTGCCTGGGTTGTCGTGCTCAGTTGGCAGATGGGAAGTCGAGGGCTGCAGAGGGGAGAGACCTGTCCGGGTGGCAGGGCCTCCCACCTCGCAGACCTTTCACTTCGCCGTTCCACCCTGAGCGCTGGTGTGGCTCTGGCACCCCTAGGATACCCGTGTCCCATGGTCCACACAGTTCTGCTTCTCACCAGTGCCATGTTTTCTGCCCTGATAGGTCCAACGGGCGCTCCTCCAAGCGGAGCCTTGGAGGGCAAGGCCGGCACCATTACCTCTAACGAGTGGAGCTCTCCTAACTCCCCCGAGGGGAGCAGTGTCTCTGGGGGCAGTCAGGCACTGGACAAGCCCATCGACAACGATGCGGAGGGTGTGTGGAGCCCTGACATCGAGCAGAGCTTCCAGGAGGCCCTGGCCATCTACCCGCCCTGTGGCCGGCGCAAGATCATCCTGTCGGACGAGGGCAAGATGTACGGTAAGGAGCCTGCCGGGCTGGGCCCAGGCCCTTGAGCGTGGCGCAGTCCTGGAAATAAAGCTGGGGCAAGGGGCTGGACACGGTAGCCTAGGGGTCCCCGCCAAATACGGGAACGACATCCTGGGGCTTCTACCAGGTGGGCACTGCTTTCTTCTGTCCTGGGTTCCCAAGGGACGGGGGCATCTGAGCCTTTGAGTGGGTGTGGAGGGTGAGGCCTGGGGCCTGAGAAGCTGTGGTAGTGGAAAATCCAGAAAAGGGGACACTGGGTGGGGTAGAGCGTCTCTTCAGAGCAGATGGGGAGAATCCATGAGTAGTCCCCCAGGCAGTGCCTGATCTCTAGGCTACCCACCGTGGCTGTGAAGGGGGACTCCTTCTGGACTGGACTCATCCCCTCTTTCATTCATTCACTCAGTCATTCATGCAGTAAACGTTTGCTGAGCCCGCCGTGTGCCAGCTGTGGGGGCAGCAGATCAGTCTCTGCTCATTACAGTGCGGGGGAAGGTGAGCGTGCATGTAACTAAGCCCAGCACGCTGGAGAGTGCCCCGGGAGTGAGGCCCGCACAGTGCTGTGACCGTCCACTCAGAAAAGGGCCAGCCCTGGGGGTGATCCGACACGGCCTGCTCTCTGTGATGAGGGTACAGAACACACGGAGGCCCTGTGTTTGGCAGCCGTGCTGGAAGGACCTAGCAGTCTGCGTGGGGCAGTGTTGACTTCTGAATGGAAGAGAGGGCATCTGGAAAAGTACAAGGACAAAAACTGAACAGCTGTTGGGAGGCCCCAGCCAGGCTTCCATTCCCATTGGAAAGTCCCGCAGGACCCCCACCTCAAAACAGTGGTCTTGGGGTGAGAGCCAGGGGGCCTGAGGGATCTAGAACTGGCTGGAATCAGAGACAACAGAGACCCGTGCCCGGCTCCCCGCAAGGTAGCCGCAGCCAGTCGTCCCCTGGAGGTTCCATTCAGGTTCTTCCGTGCCCAGCACAGGTGCTTTGACAGCTGTTGAAAGGACTGTGTGTGTGACTGTATTAGTTTCCTAGGGCGGCTGTAACAAATCACCACAAATGGGATGGCTTAAAAAAACAGAAATGTATTCTCACAGTTCAGGAAGCCAGAAGTCAGAAATCCAGGTGTGAGCAGGGTTGGTTCCCTCTGGGGACTCTGAGGGAGAGTAGTCTGTTCCACACCCGCCTCACCTCTGGTGGCCGCTGGTGATCCTCGGCGCTTCGCGGCCTGCGGCCTCATCTTTCAGTCTCTCACTTCGCCACCCCAAGGCTGCCTTCCCTGTGCTTGTCTCTGTGTGTCCTCTTCTCTCCTTATAAGGACACCAGTCATTGGATTCAGGGCCCACCTTAGTCCAGTGTGACCTTATCTTAACCAATTCCACCTGCAAAGACCCTATTTCCAAATAAGGTCACATGCTGATGTTCTGGGTGGACATGAATTTGGGGGACATCATTCAACACCATTCTGCCTGAAGCCTAAATTCCAATCCAGTTTGTTCTTGGCCCAGGGAATAACAGCTCTCAGCCCTCCTACGTCACCCTTTACCTGTAGCCTTCCCTGCAAGGCCACCGTGATTCCTCCCCTGTCCTCCGCTGGTTGGGAAAGCAAGGTCCTTCTGAGTAGACCTGGGTCTGCTCCTCGGTCACCAGTTAAAACTGTCTCCTCTCTCACCCGCCCGCCTCTGTGGCTCTGCTCAGTTCCCACAGTCTCTGACTTCTGCTTGGCCCCTGTGTCACCCTTGCTCTGACCACTTCCCGCTCGATGGCTTCTTACTTTAGTCCTGGGGGAAGCTTCGTGGGGAGACAGCTGAGTGTGAAGCACCTGGGTGTGCCACGTGTGGGGCTGGGTGCCTCACCTAGGCTACCCCCATTTCGCTGGTGGTGGAACAGCCTCTGGGAACCTTGGCTCCTCCCATTGCTTTGGTGAAGGGATGGGTGTTGATTGGGAGCTTAGGTGTGAAGGTGAGAAGGGGCAAGGGGGTGCAGGGAGGGGAGGCTGTTTGGCTGGAGAGCTGTGCCAGGTCCCTGGCTGGGAGCCATGGTGTGTGCACTGGATGCTTTGCAGGACACGTCTGTGTGCTTTAAAGGGACAGGTGGTCCGGTAGACGTAAGTGGGAACATGTATTCAGCAGAGGCTGGGAGTTGGGGGTGCTGCGGGAGTGTGCAGATGGCCCCGTGGAGATGCCAGAAGGGGCAAAATCCACAGACATTTATTTGAGTGCCACTGTGGGCCAGGGGCTTCGGCTGCTTGCTTTTTTGTTTTGGGTTTTTGTGTGTGTGTGTGTGAGAAAATATATATAACATAAAATTTACCATTTTAAACATAATTTTAAAGTTTACAATTTAGTGACATTAACTACATTCGCATTATTATACAACTGTCACCACCATTTATCTCTGGAAATTTTTTATCGTCCCAGACTGAAACTCTGTACCCCTTAAACAACAATTCCCCATTCTCACTGTCTTTCCCCTACGCAGACCCCTTGCTGTTAGCCCCACAACACCAGGTACCTCCCATAAGTGGAATCACACAGTATTTGTCCTTTTATGACTGGCTTGTTTCACTTAGCATAATGTCCTCAGGGTTCATCCACGTTGCAGTATGTGTCATAATTTCCTTCCTGTTTAAGGCTGAGTGATAGTCCATCACAGGGACATAACACACTTTGTTTATCCATTCATCTGTCAAGGGACATTTGGGTGGATGCTTAGTTTTACTTTGTAGCTATAGGTAGATATTTCTTTTTTTTTTTGTCTTTTGTCTTTTTTTCCGTGTCCAGCAACGGATCGCAACCCTCAGTGTTGCCCCCGTACCGGACCGGGGACCGGCAACGGGATCGCAACCCTCGGTGTTGCCCCCGCGCCTCGCTCAGCCAGCGGGCGGGAACCGGTCTGTATGTGGGATCCGAACCCTCGGGTGGGAGCGCCGCCGCACCTCCCAAGCAGCGCACTTATCCAGTGTGCCACCGGGCCGGCCCTATAGGTAGATATTTCTATCCCAACTTCACCTATAAAGCTATTGGGGTTAAGAGACTTTATCGGAGGTCACTGGCCCACTGTGACCAGGTCAGGCTGGGGGCAAGCGCAAGGCTGTGGATCTGTGGCAGGCCTCGGGTTGGGATTCTCTTTGGTAGGAGGGAAGCTGCTGAGTGGGGGAGGCAGGGTGAATGACGTTTGTCCAACTGTCCTGGCTATGTTGGCGTCCCCACAGGCTGCTGTCCTTCACTGTGCTGAGAGACAAGGAGGGGCACAGGTGCGGGTCACCTTGAGGAGGGCCGGGGAGTAAGGCAGAGGACAGGGGCAGTGGCTAGGAGCCTCTTCACTGTGCTTGCGAAGATTCCAGAGCTCCCGGTGGCCTTGGACATCCGCTCCCTTCTGTGCTTTCAAGGAGGGAGGAGTTACAGTGTCTGCTCGCACGTGTGGAAATGGACTGTGTTAGTCCACGTCTGTTGTTAATAGCACAATACCTGAAACTGGGTAATGTGTAAAGAAATAAAATTCCTTACAGTTGCAGAGGCTCGAAGTCCAAAGGCCAGGGAACACGTCTGGTGAGAGCCTTGTTCTTGGTGGTCTCCACAGAGACGCAGGGTGTCACTTGGTGAGTGGCTGAGCAGGAGAGAGCCAAGTTCCTCATTTCCTCTCCTTACTAAGCCGTCAGAACCACACCCAGGACCACCTTGAAACCATCAGTGGATGGATGCACTCACTAGAGCATGGTCCCCACAGTCTCGCCACCTCTTAAGTCCCCACCTTTCAATTACCATAAAAGGACTTCCCACCCTCTTAACACTGTCACAGTGGGGATTAAGCTTCAGTGAGTTTGGGGGGAAGCTCAGAGAAGCCAAGAGTTTCTCCCAGAGTCTCTCAAGTCGTAAGTGGTGAGCAGGGCTAGAACCCAGCCGTCCTGCCTGCAAGCATGGCACTCCCCTCACCCTGAGTGGCCTTGCTCCTCACCTTCTGCTTGGCCCAGGCTCCAGTTGGGGCAGGCCCCGGGCAGGAGCTGGCAGCTGCCCTGCGGTGTCTGCTGACTCACCCAGCCCCCACAGCACCTGTCCTGTGCGAGTGTGGGTCCTGCTAGGTCCAGACACTGGCTTATCCCCATTGCTTCTTCCCAGTCCCTGAGGCTGAGCCAAGGCAGGGCTGCACAGGGAGTTGGTGGCGAGGCTCTCAGCAGAGCTGAGCGTCCAGCTGAGAGGTATAGATAGCTCTGAGCTCACCCCCAGTGTGTGGGATGGGCCCCAGCTGACTCAGACCTTATCTCTCTCTGGCTGCTGCCCTGTCTTCTTTGCTTCCCCTGGAGACCTGCTCTTCCCGTGCTCTGTGTACTGCAGCCCCATCCCGAGCCCCCACCCGGCTTCCAGTATCTCCAAGAGCCCTGGTCTTTACATTCCCCCTGCTTCCCAACGTCCAGAGGCCCCCAGTTGTTTTCCAAGTGGGCCAACCTGGTTGGGCTGAGAGGAGGATTCTGGGCCTAGGAACCTGGCCTTAGCTCTTTGAGGACTGGGATCAGGCCTGCTCCCAGCCTGGGCCATGGCACACCCAGTGTAGGACATGCTGACCAGGGCCAGGCAGACATGCAGATGACATGCAGAGCAGCATAACACGTTAACACCTGTTATTCCCAGCTGAGTCACCCCGCTTGTTGGCTCTGGCTCTCCCCTTGAGCATCTCTCGCCTCTCCTGGGCCGGCTCCTGGCCCAGTGCTAGCCTTCATTTTTGCCCTGTCACTGTGTGACCCTTCCCTGGCACTGCCAGCGCTGGTCACTCTGACCTCCTTTGGCCAGGCAGCCACTGGCCCTGTGTGCAGGCGGTGGCAGGTGAGAGCTGAGTGACGTCTCTGCCTCCCCCCATCCTCGCAGCTCAGCCTGGCGCTGTGTGGGCCTCTTTCTCCCTCCTGCTTCCTGGGCTGGCTCCGAGTCCTCCTCTGCATCGTGCCTTCTGCCCCCCCTGCCTCTCACCTTCCTGGAGGCTGCTCTTGGACTTCCGAGTCTCTCTGC